TTTCATTTATTTTTGGAATATTAAAAGAGACACTTCTATTGATGCTTACTGTATAAGTTGTTTTAATATTGGTTAATCTGAACTCTAGATATTAATATTTGAAAATCTGAAGCGGGTCCAAGATGGCGGCTGTCTCTGTCAACTCCGCCATTTCGCGAGTAGGGGCTTATGGAGGCAGCTGAGCGTTTGATTAAACCATTCTGACATAAGGATACATGAAATGCAAAAAACTACTTGGACTCTCACGTAGTAGTACGTTGCAATTCAGTGTCAATCTTAAAAACTTAATTTCCGTTTCACTGCTTTAGTGTTACTGGGCTAGATACGATATGTAATGTGTACAATGTGTTAAATATACTTTCCTAACGCCGAAAAAAAGATGATAAGAATGTTTTATTAATTAATTTCATTGAAGCTATTGCACCTCTTTAATAGATCAGTACAAAGGAAAGGTGCGAATATTTAAGCGTGGCGTTTGACACGAAATTATGAATAGTGGCCCGCCTTTTATGATTCTTAGACAGGTGTACTGTTGCAAAAGAATACACAAGTATATTTAAAGCAGTATTCCCAATAGCTAAATGGTTTGCGCGTTGGGGAGAAAAGAGAAAAAAAGGCGCATTCACGTTGGCGACCTGGATTCAATCCTCCTTGTGATCAAAATTTTGAATCAGTTTTCAGCTCGATTTTACAAGTTTTTTTTTTCCCCTGAATCGGACGGAAGACCTCTCGTTGCTCGCAACGAGATCGTATCTAGTTATTATTATTATTATTCTTATTTTTTTGACTTTCTAATTTTGTGCACGCAATTTCTCGAAGACTACTGGATGAAATTACATGAAATTTTCAGGACAGATGTGTTGTTACATGAATTTAGTATATCCGAGAGAAAATTTGGAAACTCACCTCCGGTGCCAAGTTATGGACAATTTTCTGAAATTAAAATGACATTTTGTCCACGATTAAACTCAAATACGGTAAAAGATATCAATATGAAACTTTCAGGGATTATAGATCGTGATATATATTATCCAGGACGCGACCTTTCGTTCGTCGTCAATACTTCCTGTCGTTAGGAGATGCGAATTGAAAAAATCGTATTTTCTAACTTTTTTGTTTTTCAATATTTTTAATTTATTTTTGGAATATTAATAGAGACCTTTCTATTGATGCTTACTATATAAGTTGTTTGAATATTGGTTAATCTTAACTCTAGATATTAATATTTGAAAATCTGAAGCGGGTCCAAGATGGCGTCTGCCTCTGTCAACTCCGCCATTTCGCGAGTAGGGGTTTATGGAGGCAGCTGAGCGTTTGATTAAACCATTCTGACATAAGGATACATGAAATGTAAAAAAAACTACTTCGACTTTCACGTAGTAGTACGTTGTAATTACGTGTCAATCTTAAAACTTAATTTCCGTTTCACTGCTTTAGTTTAAATGGGCTAGATACGATATATAATGTGTACAATGTGTTAAATATACCTTCTTAACGTCGAAATAAAATAAAGTAGTAGTATTTATTTGGTATCATGTCATGTCATAAAGGCGATAAGAACGGTTTATTTATTTAATTTCATTGAAGCTATCACACCTATTTAATAGATCAGTCCAAAGAAAAGGCGTGAATATTTACTCGTGGCGTTTGGTGCGAAATTATCAATAGTGGCCCGCTTTTCATAATTCTTAGACAGGTGTACTGTTGCAAATGTATACACAAGTATATCTAGAGCAGTGCTCCCAATAGCTTAATGGTTTGCGCGTTAATAGATCACGTCGTAATTACGTTACACTTCTGTGTCAAACTAAAGATTTATTCCAGGGTCTTCTCAAACGTCTTCTGTAACTGGTTTTGGTTGGTTCTCAAAGTAGAAAAAGAAAAGACTAAATATGCAAATGAGAGATACCTATTATCATTTGTTTTGCAAGACGGAAAAACAGATCTTAAATCATAATTATAAGTTATAGTTTTTCAAGAAACAATATCGATGCATGTACATAGTAAGTATAAAACGTATAACCACTGTTTTTCCCATGCACACTTGTGTGATATAAAATGAATAGAAAAGACAAAAATAAGAAAACCATTTTAATAAGATCGTCTAATGGAGTTAATATTAACATTCTTTTCTCGAAGATCTGAATCAAGTTATTGAACATAAATGGTATGTGATTCCTTGACTGTCGTAGAGCGAGGCATGTTTTTCGGGGAAACATTTTAACCTTTTTAAGAAAGTGTTACTAATCGGTATAGTTCACTTCTGAGACGGGAAATAAAAAAAAATTAAATTATAGTCATTTCACTGCTTTTGTGCTACTTTTCTATAGAATGTGTACAATGTGTTAAATATATTTTCTAAACCTCGAAATGTAGGCTATGAGAACGTACTTTTTTCTTAATTTCATTGAAGCTATCACACCTATTTAATGGGTCAGTCCAAAGAAAAGGCGCGAAGATTTAACGTGGCGTTTGGTGCGAAATTATGAATAATGGCCCGTCTTTTATAATTCTTAGACAGGTGTACTGTAGCGAAAGTATACACAAGTACATTTAGAGCAGTACTCCATAGCGTAATGGTTAGCGCGTTGGGGATAAAAAGGGAAAAAAGCGGATGGGATTTTTACGCTGGCGACCTGGATTCAATTTGTGACCAAAATGTTTAATCACTTCTCAGCTCGACTTTACGAGTTTTTTTTTCCAAAATCGGACGGAAGACCTCTCGTTGCTCGCAACGAGATCGTTTCTAGTTTTTCTTCTTCTTCTTCCTGGGTACTTTTTTGTCCGGGAATGATCTTGTAAACTGTTCGTCCGATGTAGGTAAAACCTTTTTAGGGTCAGTAGACATGTTATGTAGATTTGCGGAATCAAGGTCATTTTGCGCGCACATGCTTGCAAGAGCGCGCACGTGCAACACGAGAAATGACCAATATAATAGATATAGCCGCAACTTTTCTATTTTTTCATGAAATGCTTTGAAACTCATAATGTGAGGATATATTAGTAGCATATACATGATGACATGGTCAAAATGGCAAGATCTCACGCGCATGCACGTGCGCTGCGCTCTGATTGGCTGAAACTAAAGTCTCAATATCTTTCTTGTTTTTTGACAAAATCTTTTGAAATTTTGAACATAGCCATGCATTAGGATATCCTACAACATGATGTATAACAATTATCATAAAAGCACGTGCATGCACGTGCGCTGCAATCTGATTGGCTTAAACTTTAGATAGCTATAACTCCCTTGGTTTTCAACCAATCAGGATGGGATTTGGAACATAGATAGATATAATGGATTCCTACAAGAAGGCATGTCACCATGCACATGCATACACGTGCGTGTACGTGCGCTGCAATCTGATTGGCTGAAACTTTAAACAGCTATAACTCCCTTGGTTTTCAGCCAAACGGAGTGGGATTTAGAACATAGATAGATGTAACAGACTTCTACAAGATGATATGGTCATTATGCACATGCATTCACTTGCGCACGCGTGTAATGCTAAAATTTGAATGAACTTGGTACACTTCTGGGTAAATGTTGTTAAACTCTCAAATGCATAGAGTTTGTCTTATTTAATGAAGCTTACAGGAAATATTGCACCAAAAGGGATTTGGGGAGCGTTTGGGGAACATCTGTAACGGTCCCCGTTACAATTAGCACTAGTTTCCAGTATGATAACAATACACCAAATGCTCATTTAGCTAACATCAATGCAAATCCTAGTCACTCTTTCCTTCTCTGAGAAATTCACATTGTCAAGGTCAAAACAACAATTAAACTTTAAGTTCATCTATAATCTGCAAATAATTGGAATTTTTCTAAATCAAGGGGCATAACTCTGTCAAAAACTGCTCTATCATATCAAAAACAAATCTCAACCTAAAAATTCTTATGATAAATCTGTATACCAAATTTCATTTCAGTACAATGTATGTTGTGCAATTTCTAGGAAGAAAATGAATGGAAAATATATGACCTCCAGGGGAGGGGGGGGGCAGTAGAAGGCAGGGGTCTGGTGGCTGTATTGAAGCCCCCAGTAGGTCTAAGGCAAGGTCCTTTTGGGGGGTCCGGGGGCGAAGCTCCCAGAAGCTGACAAGTTCTTACAAATAAGAAATGTTTTTTCCTCAATTTTAGGATAATGGACATATAAGTTTTACATACAAAAATTTCAAGCGGGGGGCAAACCCAGCGCACTGGCCCTGGATCCGCCTTTTTGTAAGAATTGTATGCCCCTGAATCTTAGATTATGGGGGCATAAACAGTGAAGTTAGGATCAAGGAGAAGGTAAAAAAAAAATATGCAAAGTCAACATTTTTTTAATTTAGTATGTTGAACAGCTCTTAAAAATATCTTTCAGCATATGAAGTGGAATTAATGTATTAAGAAAAAGGAGTTCAAGGTGAAAGGGAAGGTCAAGGTTAAAAAACTTGATGTAGTTGATAGCATTTACCAATATGTATCAGCTTTGATGCTGATTACAAAAAACTTTTGCAAGGTCAAGATGATTGATGCTATTGATGCAGAAGAGCATCTTGAAAGATAGAGTGACAGATGTACTATAAATCACTTTTTATTCAATAGAACTTTAATTTCACGTAATTACGCAAGACAGTGTCAATTTCATTCTTGTGTATTTTATTATTCCTAAAGATTGTATAGAGCAATAACTACATTTCTGAAAATTTTGTCTCCCCAATAAAAAGCCAATGACTATCTCGCAAAAATAAGGTGTCGCGAAAATTTAGTGCTCTACAGTATACATGTACTTGAATGAGGAAATATATATTTGTTTCACAGTGCAAAAACTCTTAGGACTTTAGGAAAACTTATTGCAGTGTAAATTCATGAAGTAAACCAGAATATTTCTGCACAGAGTAAATTCAGTATATGTTTTTTTTAGAAGGAAGGCTAAAACTGATTCATACAATTCTAAAACATCAAAACCCTGAAAATATCACTTTGGAAACAGCTTCAGAAGCATAAATACACCTGACAATGGTATACAAAAGTTTCCTTTATTAATGAATCAAAGTAAGTACAATGTGTATGGATAAACAAACAGTTCATAACCATCCCATTGTTTAAACAAAATCTGGATGCATAGCACTTTAAAATAAGTTTTAATGGGTTAAACTACAAAATATGTTTAGAAAATATACAACTACCCGGTATTTAAACATGATTTTTTCTTTGTTATTTGTTAGTTACAAAGTGACTCAATGATGCAAAAAGAAATTCAAAATTTTCAAATTAATTGCTTTTACCTCTATTAGACCTTTATATCTTTTAAACAAGTTTCAGTTTGTTTCAAGCAACTTTGATATAATATGCATTTTACAATATTATAGTTAAAGATAACTATATGTCTTCAACAGAGATTCTAAAACCTCTCCTGCTTTTCCCGTGACAAATTATCTTGGACCAAAACCATTCCACATGTACACACACAGGTTGTTCCTTTTTTACCAAAATATGGACAACTGGACAGCTGTCTCAGGTGTCTGTCTCCATGGCCTGACACCGTAGCTGACATTGCGCAATCTCCCGCAGGGCCTCCTGGATACGGTCCAGTAATTCCTCTCCATGGCTGACCACCTCCTCCAGTTTTCTGGCTTCCTCTTGGTTCTCCGCCTCCAAACGCCGTAAACTCTCCAACTGACAAAGAAAGAGTCAAAACTTAATCTTTACAGTAGAAACAACATAATATCAAAACTTCACACCTTATTCTCAATGTAAAATTTCAAATGAGCATGCAAATTTATTCAGTTATCTTGACAATATTTAATTATTTATAGCCATAGTCAGGCTACACATTTTGATATATTTTCTCTACCCATCTGATATGAAACATTTATTCATCAATATTTTCAAATCTTGGTAGTTCTACTTGCATATATTTAATTACAAGAAAAGAAACTATACCTGGACTTTATGAGACGATTCCTCACTTGGTAAGGAATCAATTAAAGTGTCAATGTCCTTGGCTGTTCTGGCAATTAGTTTTGCAAATGTTATTGCATAGTCTGAAATGTAAAACAAAGATTCAATAGCTAAATTTTTGGTACATGTAACTAATTGGTACATGTAATTAATTTTAAAGTCTACTTTCACTAATGCAATGAGGTTTTTAAAAGGCAGTTGAAATGAACTGCCAATGCTTTTTTTGGGGGGAGTGTAACATATTGGAAACCCTTAATTAATTGGCATCAAAGATGCCATTATCATAAAATGGTACAAGTTTTGGGTAATGAAGCAACTATTTCAAACCTACAAGTCAAATATTCAAAAGATTTCATTAAAATTGTTATAAATAAGTTTATTAATTGCAGAATGTAAGTACACTGTACTTTAAAAACTTGCAGAACAAGCTAATTCAGAGAATTCATGTCCCCCGCTTAGGGAAAAAGTCGGCTCCCCCTGACTGAATTTGTAGAATTATTAAATGTATACATGTATGCTGAAGCAAATAAAATACATGTATGTCAATATGCATATAAAGATTTGATTGCTTATTCTTTATTATGTGTATAGAAGATTTTTTAATATGGAATATTTATCACACTGTAATGATGATTTTATAACCTCATAAATTTTTCATTTCACATGCTGAATACTATCATTTAGTAAAAAAAAAAAAAGTATTTAAAAAAAAAAAAAAAAAAAAAAAAAGGATCAACCGAGATTCAAACCTTTCACTTTGAAGCGAGTGACATAACCACTAGACCACGGAATCGCTTTACGCGGTGTGAAGTATATGCAGAACTGAAGTCACATACATGTATATATTCATGTTTTCATGTTCGGTATTCTCAAAATTTTACACAATCCATGGTATTTGATTTATTTAGCCTTTATTAAATAGTTCTAATAGATGTAATAAGAACATAAAGTCCGCCGAGAACCTGTTTTATACGCAATAACTCTCCTCATGCCCCTGCGCTAAAAATAGCGACATGTAATACTATAAATACTAATAAAACAAACGGAGCGGGGCACTTTAAGAGGGGCGAGAGAAGTCCTAGGGAGTTTTGGTATAAAATTACATTGCATAAGCTCAAAATATTCTTGAAATATCACCCGGAAATGATAGTGTTACACACAGACAGAATGTATAAATTTACGACCTTGAACTTTGACCTTTTGACCTCAAAATCAATAGGGGTCTTCATTAGGCCACAGGGAGTTGTTATGTAAAATTTCATTGCAATAGCTCAAATGGTTCTAGAGATATCGTGTGGAAACAGAAGTGTTTTAACAGACAGAATTTGTTTATTTATGACCTTGACCTTTAACCTTTTGACCTCAAAATCAATAGGGGTCTTCTTTAGTCCATAGGGAGTTGCTATGCTAAATTTCATTGCAAAAGCTCAAAGGGTTCTCGAGATATCGTGTGGAAACGAAAGCATTACAGACAGACAGAAAGACGGACGGACAGACAAACCCAAATTAATATCCCCCACTTTTCAAGCGGGGGACAAAAAGGAATAAAGCTATTTTAAAGCATTATTAAATAATTTATAATTCATTTTGTTTACTACAATTTAGTGCAAATTCTGCATTTCATTTACATCGTAAAAGGAAATTCTATTTTCATTGTACAAATGTTTGACCTTCTTGCTGGATTTCTGATGGAGACTTTCCTGGCTGCTTGTCGAAGCCATCAAACTTGCTGGGAGGTGAGCACTGCTGCAGCACTCCTATACTGTTACAAAAATGGTCTGCAAGCTGTAAAGAAAATTATATGTTATCCTGACATTAGAATTCAAGACACTGCAGACTGCAATAAAGTCATGACAGTCCATTTGATTTTTTATCCCCCCAAAAAAATAATCCTGTTGTAGAAAATACAGATAATCACATGTGCTTATAGAATGAGAAGATCAAAGCAAAGGCACTGTTTCCGAAATTTCAATCATATTTTAAAACGAAAGCCTTGTGTTCGGCAACTCATTAAATCTATGCTTTGAAGAGTGCAGAAATGTCTAGGTCGTATGACCAAAATTATAAATTGAGCAAAATTATAAAGATTTTTCTGCAAATTGATGTTGTTCATGAATTTTGAAAACTTTGTTGTATGGAAAATTATCACATGGATACAAACTACCTGAATGTGTGATATTTTAAAAAGTAAAACAAATATTGTTGCATCATATTTCACCACCCTGTATCAGTTTGCCCTGTAAACCAAAACAAGAGGCCCACGGGGCTTATAGGTCACCTGAGTATTATGTCACAACTTTCCAGCAATTGAACTTGGTTCGTGTTTAATCCAAAAGCCATGAAATTCACAATTTTGAAAGAGGCTTATAATTATTATACACTTAGCATGCTAACTTTGGTTACAAATGCCCAGAGGTAGTTCAGAGTAACAAAGAGAAAATGCATTTCCACTTTATAACCACCAGTTGTGCACCCCACCCCACAGGAACCACTGACCCTGCAGCCACATATTTAGAAATTTTGGAAATTTTATCATAAATGGATGATTAATACCAAAGAGAAAATTTCAAAGCATTAATTTATCTTCAGACATAGTAACACCCAACCACCCCCCACCCCCGTACCTCTGACTCAGGAGCCCTGAATTTAACCATTTTGAAAGAGCCACCTTTCTTCATTATAAATATGTAATTAGATCAATGGCATATTAACCAGGAGCAAAGGCAAAGATTTTCAAAGAATTCATGCATTTCACTATACAATCAATAGAGCCCCACCCAAACACCAGAACCCCTGACCCAGGGGCCCTGAAATTCACAAATTGGGAAGAGGCAGTCTTATTCAACATAACTATGTACTTGGTTAGTTTATCTCATGCCCAGGAGCAGAGAAGAAGATTTTTTAAAGAATTAAGGTTCATAAACCCTCTGCTCACTCATATGAAATTTTTCTTGAACTTTTATGATTTTCCAAAGGAAATGTGTATGCTGAATAAAATGCAAACAATTATAGCATGGCTTGCGGGGCAAAATTTGACAAAAAAGGCACTTAAACTTGACAAATTTATAAAGGAATAATAGACATTTGTGTCATTAAGAGTTATCTCTCTTATCAGAGTATCAGTGTACCTTAATGTATTTTCACTATATAATCAATAGAGCCCCACCCAAACACCAGAACCCCTGACCCAGAGGCCCTGAAATTCACAAATTGGGAAGAGGCAGCCTTATTCAATATAACTATGTACTTGGTTAGTTTATTTAATGCCCAGGAGCAGAGAAGAAGATTTTTGAAGAATTAATGTATTTTCACTATATAATCAATAGAGCCCCGCCCTAATACCAGAACCCCTGACCCAGGGGCCATGACATTCACAATTTTGGAAGAGACATTCTTGCTCATTATAACTTTGTACTTGTTTAGTTTATTTGATACCCAGGAGCAGAGAAGAAGATTTTCAAAGATTTTATGCAATGTCACTATATAATTAATAGAGCCCAGCCCTAACACCAGACCCCTGATCCTAGGGCCATGAAATTCACAATTTTGCAAGAGACATTCTTGCTCATCATAACTGTGTACTTGGTTAGTTTATTTAATATCCAGGAGCAGAGAAGAAGATTTTCAAACATTTTATGCAATGTCACTATATAATCAATAGAGCCCCGCCCTATCACTAGAACCCCTGACCCAGGGGGCCATGAATTTCAGAATTTTGGTAGAGGCAGCCTTATTAAACATAACTATGTACTTGGTTAGTTTATTTAATGCCCAGGAGCAGATAAGAAGATTTTCAAAGAATTTATGCACTTTCACTATATAATCTATTTAGCCCCGCCCTAGCACTAGAACCCCTGACCCAGGGGCCATGAATTTTACAATTTTGGTAGAGGACTCAATGCTGATTACAATCATGCCAACAGTTTGACTGCTTGATGTCCAGGAGTAAAGAAGAAGATTTTTAAAGATTGCATGAATTTTAGGGTTTTTTTGCCCCACCCCTCAGGCCCCAGAGGGGCAGGGACCATGAAATTCACAATTTTTGTTCCCCTTCACCCATAGATGCTGTATACCAAATTTGGTTGAAATTGGTTCAGTGGTTTCAGAGAAGAAGCTGAAAATGTTCAAATGTTAACACATGATGCACGACACATGACAACGGACAAAAACGGATAGCAATAGGTCACCTGAGTGACTCAGGTGACCTAAAAACGTAACCGGTCAACCAGAGTTACCTAAAGAAGCTGAAACTCAGGGACGGGTCACATCAAATATTTTAGTTCCTACGACATCTCGCTGAGATTAGGGTCACCCCATGGGTTTAAATTGACCTGTTACCATTTTACCTTTTTTTAAGAAATAAATATTTGAAACCAGTTGTAATCAATGTAGCCTCCAAAACAAGACCCCTGCTGGGTTTTACATAGCCTGAATCCATAAATTGAGAATTTAATAGGCCCTATTACAAATTGATTACAAAGATAGACATAGATAAAAATTAGGCCTAGTTTCTTGTGATGTATAGACTGAACGCCAGATTTTTCAAACAGAAAAAGTTCACATAATTGCTTTAGTAAATTATTCAAAATAGTTCAGGTGAGGTTAAGTAGAGATACCTGATTAACAGCATCTTGAAGTTGTGTCAGTCTATCTGCCATTGTTTGACAGAGTTACCGTTCTTTACTGCTTTCCCTGCATGGATCTCCTAATTTCAGTTTGATATGAAAATAAGAGATATGATAAGGTTATGCAAAAGCAATTAATAACCCGATCGTTTTAAGTGGATATTTAAATCAAATTTTATATTATACTTATATGTATTTTAAAGATGCATCAGATTTAAAATTTGAGGATTCTTTTCTTTTTTTTTTAAGAAAATATAAAAGTTAGTTTGCTTACCAATAATAAAATTAATTCTAAGCTGAAAATTCAGAGTAAAAAAAGTAACAAATTTTAATTTAATTATTCAGACGAATAATTAGATTGTTATTTTTTTTAGGTTTATTTATTCGCTGTATAGAGCAACATTTAAAATATTCTTTCCTTCTCGTTATTTAGTCTTCTCTAAATTTTTACCCACAATGCATCACAAATGTACTTCCTTTCTAAAGAAATTCTCAAACCTTACGGTGGTGTGACTACGTTTCGTGTCAAAAACAGACTTAAAAGTATGGCATTTTGAAATGAATTCTGATTTTTTTGTTTAATTCATACTCATTTGAATAATTTTTTCATGAAAAAATACTCATTTCGCCCAAGAAAGTTGCTTGTTAATTGAAATTGTTCAACCACGTGGTCTCTGCACGCACAATACAGTAAACGGGGTACCTTTTTATTTGTGACATAAAAATATATATTTGTTAATAGAGATTCCTCAATATTTTGAATTGAAATAAATTAAATACACAGAATTTATCATATACAAAATGTTATGAATTGTTTTTGATTAGATATCTATACAATTAGAGGATTTTGAAACGGCGCCAGAGAAAGACTCAAAGAGAAAGTAGTTAAAATTATTTCATTATGGCGCAAAAACTTAAGAAATCCATCAAATGGTGATTAAAAACCCGTTTGGTGGTGAATTACTAATCATGCAGTTCTGTTGGATGGCAGATAATTTAAACCCATGTGGAATTTGCTCACACTCATACATTCACCTCTGTCGTTGGCTCGCGTATATCACAGTAATAAACACGAGAAATAGTGCATTTGTTTTAATTCATTATAATTCAATTTATTTGTTTATGTCTGACTTTTCAGATAAATATTAACTAAATTAATCCAGAACTATTAATTTAATTAGAAAAAATCCTGCAAATATTACTTTTTATACGTTATGTCAAAAATCTTGACGTGAGCCCATTGCAGAGGTGTCTGAGAGAGGAACGAATGACAACTCTGCATAGGAGATTGGAATTTGCTATGAAAAAAATGGTATAAGCAGCATATAGATCATTGTCGGTAACCCACGGGTGATCTCGTCTTTACTCATCACATGTGGGCAAACTAGCTGAAATTTCTCTGTAAAATATGCTAATTTGTTCTTTATAGTCAACCAATCAGAAAGTTGGAACTCTTCAATTGTGAAAAATACGTTTATTAGTTTGCTATTTATGGTAAATATTTTGACGTTCGTTAAATCGTGCAAAGTTTGATTTAGAACAATTAAAGTCAATATGTACAAGTCACTAACATTAATATCTATCAGATATTATACAGGAGTACCTCTTTCTAACTGCAAAATGTGCTGGTGAGTGGATTCATCAGCTATGTTAACTACAGAATGAGTTTTTCATGTATTTGGCAATGCCGAACATGCATACGTAACGTGAACTGTAATTTGTTGTTTGGCATTGCGACTCTCTGAAGCAGCCAATCAAATGACCCAAGCAAATTTAGTCATTGCCTGACAAAAAAGGATTTTATCTCCCCACAACTTGGGCAGATAATTAGGTTTGTCTCTGATATAGACAAATTTGAACACAAAACCAGGGTTAGCCAAACTCTTCATTTGTTGGTTATTTCTGTGGTCAAAAGAATTTAACACGTCACATTTTTCAAATTTCAGAATGCGTTACGTAGCGGCCTACTTGCTTGCAGCTCTTAGCGGCAACAGCAACCCTTCTGCAGCTGACCTAAAGAAGATCATCGGGTCAGTAGGAATTGATGCAGAGGCTGACAAAATTGAAAAAATCATCAATGAACTAAAGGGAAAAAGTATTGAAGAACTCATCACTCAAGGTAATAAATTGATTCCAAATTTGCCTTCATTTAATATTAAAATGAAAAAAATGTCTTGTTTTGAAAATTTTTGTGTATTTTGATCATACCCAACTGTCAGGTGCTATATCAACAGTCATCAGTTATGCCAAAAAAAATTTATAAATAGTTTCTCAGGCACCGCCGCATCTGTTCAAAAATGGCCGCATTGATCAATTTTATTGACATATTGAAACGGGAAATAACTCAATTTTCTATTTTTCCAAGTTGAAAATGAAAATTGAGTTATTCCCCTTTTCATAAATGCTAAGATAGATGTTTTTATTAGAAAAACAATACATTTGTTCTAAATTTACAATATTTTATAGTTTAACTTTTAAATAAATGTTTGGAATAACTATTTAAAGTTGAATACATATAACTAATTTCAGAGACCAAAATTAAGAATTAGTAGATATTATCATTTTATTGAACAAATGGTTTTAAAAAGATGTAAAACCTGCTTAAGGACACACACAACATAGTTTGAACTTTTTGGTCTTTTCCCATGGAGTTGAAGAGTTCCAATTCTTGAAGGAACTGTGTGCTATATTTTAATGTTTTAATATGTATGGCGTACTTCTAAAACAATATTTGATAAAAGAATCATCTAGAATATGTGTTTAGTATTTTTTATTCATTTTTCCTTGAATCATCCAAGAATTTTCATTCACAGATATCTTTCAGAAACTAGGGTTGTATCAATATATCGATACGTAGGGATGTGCGGTTTTATCGATATACCGGTATATCGCGATTTTTTATTGCGTGATACGTATCGTGATACGGAGACCTAAATACCGGTATTTAGGTACTTATTGTAAAGTCCAGAAACTATTCATTTATTTGTTCAATCTTTCAAATTACAATTATAGAATGTCTAAAAATGTTGTTAAAGGTGAAAAGAGCGGCATCTTACCGTCCAAACATGATTAATTTTATGTACATAAAAATTTCAAAAAAGTGAAATTTTGTTTTTCTAGCATATTTTTAAGAAAATAATGACAATTCATTAAAAATCATTGTAAAATTGCTTGTAAAAATATCATAATATTAACGTGATATTTTGGGGAAAAATCGTGATATATCGCGATACGAAATTTTTGGCGATACCCATCTCTATCGATACGTATCGATATTCAAGAAAAATATCGTATCGAAAAGTAACTTCAATACGCATCGGACAGACATTTTTTCTTCAAATTCTGTTTAAAAGATGGGAATTTCAATCACCAAAGATTATATTTTACTTTTTTGAATTGAAACCTTCAATAATTACTGTACATACTTTCTAAGGAATTAACACAGTTTTTATAATTATTACAAAATACAAAGAGAAATTTTTTTGAACATGTTGATTTTACTGTCATCTAAAGTTTTAATTGAAGTGTTATTTTTAAAGGCAATGAGACAAGAACTTAAAAAGGGTAATAAAACACTTAATTGTTATGAAATGTATGCATTAAAATGATTTAGAAGCCTTTTCTGATGGACTTGTTTCAGAATCCAATATATCGCATATCGCTTTAAAAAATATTGTATCGTATCGAAATTTTTGGCTCAATACACAGCCCTATCAGAAACCCCTGGTAATGCATGCTGATTTTTTGTCTATGAACATCTTATGACACTATAATCTTAATTAAGGCATATCTAGAAATTTTATCAGTAGGTAAGTTATGTTGCATATTAGGGCTGAAACGATACACCCCCTCCACGATACGATACGTATTGCAATACTTGTGTCACAATTCAATTCTTTCAATACGATACAATTTAAGAAAGAAACTATTCATGAGGTTAAAGAAAATTTAACAGATTTTAAAAAAGGGGGGTGATACAGTAGAGATATACTACTAGGGGTATGCAATTTACATATTCAAGAACTAGCCCAAGGGCTAGTGGCAGCAATAAAGTTACTAGCCCCAAGAAAAAAAGTTACTAGCCCAAATATAGGGACAAAAATTAAAATAGAAACTAACGTTGAAAAAAAAAATAATCATTGAAAAAGTCAGGGTACTACGGTCATTCTTTTGAAAATAAATCATATAAAATTAATGATTATGACAGAAAATAAAAATAAAATAAAATTAAAAATATCTGAAGATCTTTCCTTTTCTGAATATTTTGCACTAGCTCATTTAGAATTAAATTAAATTCATTTTGTTTTCATATTAAATCATTGAATTAACCAGAAAATATTTAATGTGATTCACACTGAACCTTCAGTTGATTGAGTGATTTTAGATAATTTTTAAAATGAGCTATCTGCGTATTTACAATAAACAGAGGTATGGAGGAAATTCGGATGAGGAAAAAAACGGTCGTTTTTGGAGGTAAATTAGTCAGGTAGTATTGCAAAATTGAGAAAATTATGGAGATGTATTGGCAGTAGGAGCATGCTGCTTGGAAAATATTCACTGATTGGGAATTTGATAGCAAAAAATGAGTAAAAATACTTTGTGCTTTTCAAGTATTACATGCGTCATAATTTTTACTAGCCCGGATTTACTAATTTGTTAATTGCATATCTCTGACTACTTGTTGTTCTGTTGATTAAGAACACTATATTCGTTTAAATAAAAGCAGTGGCAGCCTGCTCTGAAACTTTAGCGTCCCAAATAGGCTACCTCGTGTGTGTCAAACTATTAAAATAAGGTCGAACCCGATCTATTTAAAGAGTTAAACAAACCCGATTATAAAAAACGTATCGAACCGAAAATCGAGATGGTGAATCGAAAATTGACACCGAGCACTTATATCGAACAATATCGATATTTCGATGAATCGTTTCAGCCCTATTGCATATGTCCTTAAAAAAAAAAAAAAAAAAAAAAACCTGCCTGCAGCATTGAATTTTTAAGTTTTTGGCCTGAGAAACTATTGATTAATTTTTTTTGGCCTTATGTATATATTTTGATAAATACATGAATTTAACAAGAGGAATGGGAGACATCACTCACCTGAGAAGCTTTGACCATTCTGTTCTTTACCAGATTTCCCCCTTGTTATACATAATGCATACCCACCCTACCCCACTGATCATAATTTAGACATTTTGAAATCTACACTACCCCATGATCCTTCCATGGGCACATATGTTTCAGCTTTTTTGGCCCAATGGTTCCCGAGAAGAAGATTTTCAAAGATTTTTCCTATATATTTCTATGTAAAACTTTGATTCCCTATAATGGCCCCGCCCTTCCCCCGGGGGTCATGATTCCTACAATTTAGAATTTACACTACCCCAGAATGCTTCCACATAAGCTTCATTTTTTCTGGCCCAGTGGTTCTTGAGAAGAAGATTTTCAAAGATTTTTCCTATATATTTCTATATAAAACTTTGATTCCCCATTGTGGCCCCGCCCTTCCCCCGGGGGTCATTATTTGAACAATTCAGAATCTACATTATACCAGGATGCTTCCACATAAGTTACAGCTTTTTTGGCCCAGTGGTTCCCGAGAAGAAGATTTTCAAAGATTTTTCCTATATATTTCTATGTAAAACTTTGATTCCCTATAATGGCCCCGTCCTTCCCCCGGGGGTCATGATTCCTACAATTTAGAATTTACACTACCCCAGGATGCTTCCACATAAGTTTCAGCTTTTCTGGCCCAGTGGTTCTTGAGAAGATTTTCAAAGATTTTTCCTATATATTTCTATATAAAACTTTGATTCCCCATTGTGGCCCCGCCCTTCCCCCGGGGGTCATGATTTGAACAATTTAGAATCTACATTATACCAGGATGCTTCCACATAAGTTTCAGCTTTTCTGGCCCAGTAGTTCTTGAGAAGAAGATTTTCAAAGATTTTTCCTATATATTTCTATATAAAACTTTGATTCCCCATTTTGGCCCCGCCCTTCTCCCGGGGGTCATGATTTGAACAATTTAGAATCTACACTACCCCAGGATGCTTCAACATAAGTTTCAGCTTTACTGGCCCAGTGGTTCTTCAGAAGAAGATTTTTTAATGACCCAACCCTATTTTTGTCTTTTCTTGATTATCTCCCCTTGCGAGGGGATATGTCCCTTCATTTTAATAATTTAAATTCCCCTTCACCCAAGGATGCTTTGTACTAAGTTTGGTCAAAATTGGCCCAGTGGTTCTTGAAAAGAAGTCGAAAATGTGAAAAGTTTACAGACGGACAGACAGACAGACGGACGACGGACGGACAAAATGTGATCAGAAAAGCTCACTTGAGCCTTCGGCTCAGGTGAGCTAAAAAAGAATTATGATTGTAATTATGGATTTCTTTATACAAGTGACTTTTAATTATAGGCCAAGAGAAGCTTGCATCTGTGCCATCTGGTGGTGCAGTGGCCGCCAGTGCTCCCGCTGGAGGAGCCCCTGCCGAGGCAGCACAAGGTACACCAACAATTCATCAATATCTTGTATGAATCTTAAAGCAATCAAACACCACCTGTCGTGAGAAATTCTTTATTCTTATTGGTTACATATCTCTTTCTCAACATTTTTACACAGCATTAATTTATGGTATTGTATATTTGCTAGTCTTGTCATTCAGTATGAATTCACATTTTGGGAAATTTCTATATTTACAGAAAAGAAAGAAGAGAAGAAGAAGCCCGAGCCAGAATCCGAGTCCGACGACGATATGGGATTTGGTCTCTTCGATTAAAAAAGGACTATATATGTCTTAAAGAAATAAATCATAAAACAATTTATGCATCATTAGTCTAGTATGTGATTGTACTTGTCAATTTGTAATGAAGTGAAAAAAAGTCAATTGACTAGGGGTATGCAATTTACATATTCAAGAACTAGCCCAAGGGCTAGTGGCAGCAATAAAGTTACTAGCCCCAAGAAAAAAAGTTACTAGCCCAAATATAGGGACAAAAATTAAAATAGAAACTAACGTTGAAAAAAAAATAATCATTGAAAAAGTCAGGGTACTACGATCATTCTTTTGAAAATTAATCATGTAAAATTAATGATTATGACAAAAAATAAAATAAAATAAAAAAATATCTGAAGATCTTTCCTTTTCTGATTATTATGCACTAGCTCATTTAGAATTAAATTAAATTCATTTTGTTTTCATATTAAATCATTGAATTAACCAGAAAATATTTAATGTGATTCACACTGAACCTTCAGTTGATTGAGTGATTGTAAATAATTTTTAAAATGAGATATCTGCGTATATTTACAATAAACAGAGGAATGGAGGAAATTCGGATGAGGAAAAAAACGATCGTTTTTTGAGGTAAATAAGTCAGGTAGTATTGCAAAATTGAGAAAATTATGGAGATTTATTGACAGTAGTCCCTGAGCATGCTGCCTGGAAAATATTCACTGGTTGGGAATTTGATAGCAAAAAATGAGTAAAAATACTTTGTGCTTTTCAAGTATTACATGCGTCATAATTTTTACTAGCCCGGATTTACTAATTTGTTAATTGCATATCTCTGACTACTTGTTGTTCTGTTGATTAAGAACACTATATTCGTTTAAATAAAAGCAGTGGCAGCCTGCTCTGAAACTTTAGCGTCCCAAATAGGCTACCTCGTGTGTGTCAAACTATTAAAATAAGGTCGAACCCGATCTATTTAAAGAGTTAAACAAACCCGATTATAAAAAACGTATCGAACCGAAAATCGAGATGGTGAATCGAAAATTGAACCGAGCACTTATATCGAACAATATCGATATTTCGATGAATCGTTTCAGCCCTATTGCATATGTCCTTAAAAAAAAAAAAAAAAAAAAAAAAAACCTGCCTGCGGCATTGAATTTTTAAGTTTTTGGCCTGAGAAACTATTGATTAATTTTTTTTGGCCTTATGTATATATTTTGATAAATACATGAATTTAAACAAGAGGCCCATGGGCCACATCACTCACCTGAGAAGCTTTGACCATTCTGTTCTTTACCAGATTTCCCCCTTGTTATACATAATGCATACCCACCCTACCCCACTGATCATAATTTAGACATTTTGAAATCTACACTACCCCATGATCCTTCCATGGGCACATATGTTTCAGCTTTTTTGGCCCAATGGTTGAGAAGAAGATTTTCAAAGATTTTTCCTATATATTTCTATGTAAAACTTTGATTCCCAATAATGCCCTTCCCCCGGGGGTCATGATTCCTACAATTTAGAATTTACACTACCCCAGAATGCTTCCACATAAGCTTCATTTTTTCTGGCCCAGTGGTTCTTGAGAAGAAGATTTTCAAAGATTTTTCCTATATATTTCTATATAAAACTTTGATTCCCCATTGTGGCCCCGCCCTTCCCCCGGGGGTCATTATTTGAACAATATAGAATCGACACTATACCAGGATGCTTCCACATAAGTTACAGCTTTTTTGGCCCAGTGGTTGAAAGAAGATTTTCAAAGATTTTTCCTATATATTTCTATGTAAAACTTTGATTCCCTATAATGGAAATCCTTCCCCCGGGGGTCATGATTCCTACAATTTAGAATTTACACTACCCCAGCATGCTTCCACATAAGTTTCAGCTTTTCTGGCCCAGTGGTTCTTGAGAAGATTTTCAAAGATTTTTCCTATATATTTCTATATAAAACTTTGATTCCCCATTGTGGCCCCGCCCTTCCCCCGGGGGTCATGATTTGAACAATTTAGAATCTACATTATACCAGGATGCTTCCACATAAGTTTCAGCTTTTCTGGCCCAGTCAAATGCTAGTTCTTGAGAAGAAGATTTTCAAAGATTTTTCCTATATATTTCTATATAAAACTTTGATTCCCCATTTTGGCCCCGCCCTTCTCCCGGGGGTCATGATTTGAACAATTTAGAATCTACACTACCCCAGGATGCTTCAACATAAGTTTCAGCTTTACTGGCCCAGTGGTTCTTGAGAAGAAGATTTTTTAATGACCCAACCCTATTTTTGTCTTTTCTTAATTATCTCCCCTTGCGAGGGGATATGTCCCTTCATTTTAATAATTTAAATTCCCCTTCACCCAAGGATGCTTTGTACTAAGTTTGGTCAAAATTGGCCCAGTGGTTCTTGAAAAGAAGTCGAAAATGTGAAAAGTTTACAGACGGACAGACAGACAGACGGACGACGGACGGACAAAATGTGATCAGAAAAGCTCACTTGAGCCTTCGGCTCAGGTGAGCTAAAAAAGAATTATGATTGTAATTATGGATTTCTTTATACAAGTGACTTTTAATTATAGGCCAAGAGAAGCTTGCATCTGTGCCATCTGGTGGTGCAGTGGCCGCCAGTGCTCCCGCTGGAGGAGCCCCTGCCGAGGCAGCACAAGGTACACCAACAATTCATCAATATCTTGTATGAATCTTAAAGCAATCAAACATATGTCGTGAGAAATTCTTTATTCTTATTGGTTACATATCTCTTTCTCAACATTTTTACACAGCATTAATTTATGGTATTGTATATTTGCTAGTCTTGTCATTCAGTATGAATTCACATTTTGGGAAATTTCTATATTTACAGAAAAGAAAGAAGAGAAGAAGAAGCCCGAGCCAGAATCCGAGTCCGACGACGATATGGGATTTGGTCTCTTCGATTAAAAAAGGACTATATATGTCTTAAAGAAATAAATCATAAAACAATTTATGCATCATTAGTCTAGTATGTGATTGTACTTGTCAATTTGTAATGAAGTGAAAAAAAGTCAATTGACTACTAGTAATTGACTTTATCTAGATAAAGGAGCTGATTTCCCATACAAATCAATATTTTCTATAGAGATTAGGATACATTACCAAAGAAAGTGTAAAGTGTATAGAGTGATACACTACCAACACTCGCCAATATATTGGGTCTGGATTAATTTAGTTAAATTTTATATGGGCAAGAAATTGCTTAACTAAATACACACAGTCAAGAAATAAGTTTGTGATGATCCCAGCCACAAATTTTGTTTGGAAATAAAAAATGTAAATTGTGAAGCATCTCCTCCCCCTTAAAACCTGCTTCTCAAACTTCGATGTATAGTTATTCTCCGTAACAATTTATATTTTATTCAACAAGGAGATATATGCATCATATGAGAGATTTTAGATTTGGTGCATTAAGATTCTGCATTCTTCAGTTTATATTTAGACAGAACTCCATCAAAGTGCAATTATAACGCTCCTCTTTGATAATCCCGTAAGTGGAGTGAGGTAATGTCTGCATCTTTGGGGAAAGGATCCTACTGGACTCATCCGAAGGAACGGTCTTTACATCACACTGTAGATTCAAAGCGGCAAAGACCTTCACAGTAGCTCAGTCCGCGGAGGGCTCGCTCCGTGCTCAAAAGATCATTTTCGAATCACAGCTACAATTGACTTGAGTCGATAAAAAACAGGTAGCAACTGTTTTTTCCGCCAAGGGCTCGACTGTTTGAAGTGAAAGTTGCATGTCCTTTTTGTGAGAGCTTAAAAACTAAAGCCAAATTAAACTTTAGGTGTTGATATATTAACCTCATTGCTCAATGACACTAAATGCCGAGTACAAGTGTAAATTTAAAGCCCTTCACCTGTATATAGTGACTTCTCTTTGAGTGAAAAATTCTGGAATGGACAAAAATTAGCATTCAATCAATCAATCAAACCTCCGACATTAGGATAAACAACGACTATTAAAGGAAATACTCTAATCCCCACAGCGCCACATGGGTGACACATGTAAGTCGCACGATTTAGACTGCATAAATTGAGGTCCCATGTCGATACCAATCGGTGTAGTCCCAACTAAGTCAACAAGCAAATGAACATTTCAGAGTTAACACGTCATCTGGCATGTGAAAATTACCAACATCAAAATGATTGGTTGATTGTTGTTCAACGTCCTTCTCCAGAATTTTTCACTGACATATGGAGATGCCACCACTTGCCGGCGGAGTGCAAATTTTATCCTATATTAGGCACTCAGGGCCATTAAACAGGGAGGAATCTTTTTCATACCAGCACTTACTGCGACACAGGACCTCAGTTTAAACAGTCTCATCCGAAGGACCGGTCTCCACGTCCGACTTGGGATTCAAACCAGCGATGCAAGGATTATAACTCCTTACTCCGCAGCTCTAACCACCTGCGCCACGAGGGCGAGATATCAAAGAGAAAGTCAGAAACTGTTTGAACTATCTAAGATTTGTGTAATCAAGTTACGAGGCAAGCTATTGACAAACAAGTTGATGAATCAAGGATATCGATATCAACTGTCTCGTTTATGATCAACATTTCCAAAATTAGATGGCCTATACAATAATCTTGTCAGAAAATACAATTTATCGTTAAGTCGAATGCTGAGTGACTGATAAACTTTCAAACTATTTGTAAACTATTAAACCAATTGTTGGCGTGAAACCATAGACGTAAACATAGCATATAATTGTACCTTTGCGAAGCGCCATGTACTAGAAGTAAAAATCAGAGGTCTTTCGGAAGAGACTTTTAAAACCGAGGTCCCATGTTACGGTAGTCGTTGGCATGGTAAAGAACCCTAGCTCAATGATCCTGAATGCTGAGTACAAGTCTAAATTTGAAACTCTTGAAACCCTCCATCTGTTAACCGAGATCCATGCTTGTGCTCTGAGGATGTGAATTCTCGGGATCAGCTGGGATCTTTTTTCCGGAATCCATATTTAGCACTGTAAGTAGTAGTTAGTCGATACAATGAACAGTCCTTGTCAGGAAATACAATCTATCATTAACTTTTAAAAGTCAAATGCTGACTGACGTTTTCATGCTTGTACTAATTCTTAAGCGCTTTTATTAGCTCACCTGAGCCAAAGACTCAAGTGAGCTTTTCTGATCACATTTTGTCCAGCATCCATCTGTCTGTCTGTCTATCTGTCTGTAATCTTTTCACATTTTCAACTTCTTCTCAAGAACGGCTGGGCCAATTTCAACCAAACTTGCCACAAAGCATCCTTGGGTGAAGGGGATCCAAGTTTGTTACAATTATGGGCCATGCCCTCATTCAAGGGGAGATAATTGGGAATTAGTGAAAATTTGGTGGCATGTTTAAAAAATCTTCTTCTCAAGAACCACTGTGCCAGGAAAGATGAAACTTATGGGGAAACATCTTCAGGTAGTGTAGATTCAAGTTTATTCAAATCATGACCCCTGGGGGTAGGGTGGGGCCAAAATGGCCGATCAAAGTTTTACATAGAAATATATAGGAAAATTCTTTAAAAATCTTCTTCTCAAGAATAACAAAGCCATGAGCCCATGACTGATCATATTTATATGGAATCATCCTCAGGTAGTATAGATTCATGTTTGTTCAAATCATGACCCCCAGGAGTAAGGCGGGGCCAAAATGGCCGACTTAAATTTTACATAAAAATATATATAAAATTCTTTAAAAGTCTTCTTCTCAAGAATAAGAAAGCCATAATTGATCATATTTATATGGAAGCATCCTCAGATCATAGTGTAGATTCAAATCTGATCAAATCATGACCCCCAGGGGTAGGACGGTGCCACAATGGCCGAACAAATTTTACATAGAAATATATAGGAAAATTATTTAAAAGTCTTCTTCTCAAGAATAGAAAAGCTATAATTTATCATATTTATATGAAAGCATCCTCGGATTGTGTAGATTCAAGTTTGTTAAAATCATGACCCCCGGGGGTAGGGCGATGCCACAATGGCCGACCAAATTTTACATATATTTATATAGGAAAATTCTTTAAAAATCTTCTTCTCAAGAATAGCAAAGCCATGATTGGTCATGGGACTACTTTTGGATTTAAACATTTCAATAATAAACCAGTTTCTACTTTTTCCTAGCCACAATGTTTAGGTGAGCGATATGGCCCATGGGCCTCTTGTTTACACTCTGAGTTGTCAACAGATTTTTCCGTTATTTTATTCCCGATCATGACTAACAAGGAGCACACGACGGGTTTGGCCGATCGTCAGGGGCCCACTCGATTGGGACCCTTCTAGAAGCAGAGTGGAATGTCAGAAGGATTGGAATGTCTAAATCGAGTGTTCAGAAGGATATTGAATATGATGGAATATCATCTGCAATGTTTTGAATTACTGCAGTAGTTGTTTTTCAAGAATTTGAATCCTTTAATTTAAAGCATTAAATGTTATTTAGAAAGGGAAACTTGAAGAGATAATTAAGAGTGGAAAATTTTATTAAAATTAATAATTTTGGGAACTTTTTATTTCTGTAAAAAAAGATTAAAACATCAAGTGCCTGAGACAGAAGAATATTAAACTACATGATTGTATAAAAAATATCAAAATAATTATAGTCATATCAGGGACCAATTTCTGGCTCAAATCTTCACTCCATATTACATGGTAAATTATGAATTATGAAAAAATGCTTTAACAGAATTAGCCTTCATAAATTATAAAATTACTTTTTTGTAATTTAATTTTGTTTTAAGTTTGGTTTATTTACAATAATTAAAGTCCCCAAAGTTTTCACCCACCTGCTTGAAGCCATATTAGAATGCTATCGATCCTTCCATCTTTGATGCGGAAGGCTGAGAAGGCCTAAGCTAGTCTACCCTACCAAACCAATCGAGCAGACAGAATGGTTATTCTAGAATAAGAAGGGTCCCAATCGAGTGGGCCCCAGGGGATGCTCTCCCCACCATGGCACCTGATCCCATCTCTAATATGTTTCAGAGGTTCGTGTAAAACTTGTTCTTTTCTTGAATTGTATTGTCTAATGATCTGAGCTCCATGTAATGATGACATTGATGTATTTCATGATTTGAGGTGCTGCATCCAAAGCACAGGCATTTAACTCGTATACAGGACATCCATACTTATTTTTAACACGACATGGTAAAAACAAGCGTCAAGATGTCCTGTATATGAAACAATTAAGTGCCTGTGATCCAAAGACCTACTGTAGATGAAAAATGTTAGATATATATACAGGCTGTGTAAGAAAAATGATTTTTCTTAGAGCTATGTAATTTTCCACGTCAGGTTTCCTTTCACTACTGTTCTCAAGTAAGTCAGTAGGCCTAAGATCTATGATCCACCTACACTTTTTCAGCGAATCGGAGCTTCCCACATAGAAGGAAGTTGGTGAGAGTTGTCTTTCTTGGGGCAGATGTCGCGCACATAATCAACTTCCTGAAGAAAAAGCCGGCGTTAGACTTAGAAACGTGGAAACAGAAACCACCCAAATTTTCAATGAAAACCGGGGTGCGAGTAATGCTGGCACACCTCCAGCGTCAACTGAGGTGCAAGGAGTCACGCTGGCTTCTACTTTCAGTTTTGTTTTGTCTCAACTTAAGCGTAACACATGCAATCGGTGACGTCTTTTGGGCTGTGAATTGTGGAGGAGAAGCCCACACCGATGTTCATGGCATTCGGTATCAAAAAGATCCCGCTCAGGTGGGCATTGCTTCAGACTATGGGAAAACTTTAATGATCGACAGAGTAGTACCACAAGATCAGATCCTCTACCAAACAGAGCGGTATCATATGTCCACCTTTGGATACGAGATTCCCATCAAAGAAGATGGTGATTATGTTCTAGTGCTGAAATTCTGTGAGGTTTGGTTCACATCTCCAAATAAAAAGGTAAATACATATGTCCTCTTATTGATATTTTAAAAGCAAGGAGATACTTTTTCCCAAAGTCCTCCCTGGCATTTGGACAAGTCCACTAGATTTGTTGCAGCTTGTTTCAGTCTATTTTAATTAATGTATTGGAAAATATGTTTCATTGTGTGGCGGTCAGCCGGGTTCAATCGCTGGTGGCCAGATAGCTCAGTCAGTAGAGCACCTGACCGGAGATTCAGGGGGCCCAGGTTCGAATCCTGGTCTGCTAGCTCTGCTGCATTTCTTTCCTCTTTTGTTACAATCAATGACACCACAATATCAACACTCATTCTTTATTGACACATGTATTCAGTGGAACCATCTACCCAACTCTGTCGTACATGCGAAAACAATAGAGGGATTTAAGATTGCCGTACAGGAACATCGACGCCAATAACATCCGGCGCTCTCTCTTACCGTTGTGAAAAAGCCTATATAGGATACTACAATGTATACATACAGATACAGAGAATGTCTCATTTGTGTTTATTGTACAACATTGGTCTACCCCTTTCAATTAGTCTTTACTGATTTCTTAGGGCATGTATTTACATACATGTCCTTAACTGGTGCCATGTCATGTCAGTGATGGATGTTGGAACTGAGGTTGAAGCCCTTTAAGGATGGACTTCATACACTAATACAAATGTTGCATTAGTACTGTAATACCGTATACCGGGTTTTCTTGGCGGATGTAAAATTTGGCATTTTGCCTGCTTACAGGTATGCCAATAATTTTGGCGTAATTTATTTTAGCGGACACAGAGTTTCAGCTCTTTGCAAATGAACACTTAGAAGGTTACTGAATATTTTAGCGATCAAAATTTTAGCGGACTTCCATCAAAACGCTAGCCTAAAATAAGCCAAAATTAGCACCCCGCTATACGGTATACACTCGACGGGGCATTCATGTACAAAGGACACATTTCTAGTTAAAACTTTAGATCTATTCTGTTTAAATACTGGTAACTGTTAAATAAACCAACTTGTTTGTAGAGGCATGATGATAAATAACCATGATTACTTAACATTGTGCTGAAATATTATCAATCAGTTGTATTGTTAGTTTCATTCTAAAAGTAATGATCTTGTCTGACTCAAAGAAATGCTGTGCATAGCCCCTGACCTGTTTGTATTTTCCGTTATAAATACTCTGAAGGAGTCGCATTTCGAAATACATTTGCAAATTACATGTATTTACTAAATCAAGAGACTGTGTGGGATCTGCATGCAAAGAAAACTATTTATAGACAACTAATTCACTGTTTATTGATTAAGCCCAAATTTATCTTAATACATCAAGGAATCCTTGAAATATATACCTGTACATAGTGGTGTACACTAATTAGCTAAAATTTAAGTAGATTAGCTCATTAATGTCAATCTAACCCTACAAAATAATGGATATTGGTAGTATGGATGCATGAAAATATGGACAGAAGTTACTGGTTCAGATTATCAGTCGAGTTTGAACAGAACCAGAATGCCAAACCTGAACCAATTGTCATCTGAACTTAGCTTGCGATTGGCTGTACAGTCAAAATCCAGGTGTTCAATGCAAAGTGCCGTAATTAAAGTTAAAAGTATTCAACTTTCTCAACTTAAGCAAGTTTGAAGTGAAATATGAAAACATTTTCACATCCAACCAATTTGTAGATTTTCAGAGAAATGTCAATTCCATTCGTAAAAGAAAATCCACACTGACTTTTCAATTAACACAAACTGTTTAAATGCTATTTAGCTTATGTAACAAGTGATTATGTTTGGCTTTCTTGTTTACACAGGTATTTGATGTGACATTGAATGGAGAACACACCGTTGTTGAAAATTTGGACATCTACAACAAAGTGGGCAGAGGAGTAGCTCATGATGAAATCATTCCTTTTTCTGTTAGAAATGGAAAATTAAAAGTCAACGGTGAAACCTCCAAGATAAATGGAAAAGTCTCTGTAGAGTTTATTAAGGTATGTATTTATATCATATTAATGAACACACAATAGTGAGAGTACCTTAAATTTTCTATTGATTTATATATGTATTAATGCACAGTGATTAATCAATCAGGAGAAAAATTATTGTATTGTGCCTTTGTATTACCATATATGCTGTATGGTGCATGCAAAATTACACTGAAACTGAATTGAGCTTAAAGAAATTGAAATAAATCAATTTTTATTCATAAATATTGAATGAAGAAAATGTGGCAAACTAGAGACGAATTTCAGTCTTCATGTTTTTATTTATTCATTTGATAGGGTGAATATGACAACCCAAAAATCAATGCAATGTATGCCATGAAGGGCACAGTCGAAGGTAAACCTTTTTGTTAAAAAAAAAAAAATCAATCAGGTATTGTTCTGATACATGTATTTAAAATATTTGCATCTAAATTTGAAAATTATAGTCTGAAAAATTATATATTGGAAATTAATTCTGTAGCCTCAATTTTTTTCAGTATCAAAGACAGTCTCCATTCTATTGTTTTCTTGAGGTTGTTTACAATTAACTTATGAGAGGTACTGTGTGCATGTTTGTACATGTATAAGGGCTCCATTTATCTTGTATGTTTATTATTATACAGATGTACCCAGCCTAGCCCCCCTCCCCGGGGCCCACAGAGAGCAGGAGGAGGAGGAAGAAGAGGAGGAAATCAACGAGTCGAAGCCGACAAAATCCCGCCGCCCCTCCGGACCCAAAGTGGTAGACCCCTACTCTGAGGACGACACCAGCACCATCCTACTGCCGGTGTTTGTTGCTGTGGGAGCATTCTTCCCTCTTCTGTTTTGTTTGTGTAAACTTTGATCAAATCTAGTTCTTTTAGGTCATTTAATCTTTATTTAGTCATTTTACAAGGTTTTTATCAAGAAAAAAATTAAATAAAACAAGGTTATTTACTAATTTAGTCCCCAAAACTCTTTTTTTTTTTTGAGCATTTACTTAAAAAGAAAAATGAAGGTAAATTTAGGGAGGTTTACCACACCTGGAAAAGGTTAACGATATATAGATGTATAAAGTGTGAAATAGAGCAAACTTCAAACTTTTGATATTTTATTTATCACTTTGAAAAACATGCTCATGCATGCATAGTTAAATGAAAAATATTGAGCATTAATTTTTTTTCAATCAGGTATGATAAATATTTAATTACTTTGGAAGAATTGTCATTTAAAAAATGGTCCCATGTTATCATAATATATCAGCTCAAACCACTGTATACATTTCTGCCATGATCATGTTACCATACATCTCAGGTTCTAACATTACACCAGTCTCACTCTGCCATAAACATAGAGGGATTGCCATTTGTTTTACTGTTTACTCTTACTAGTATCGTGTGATGTAGCATAATTTAGTATATTTAAAGTGAACATTAACAACAACAACTATATACATTCATTATTACTATATTGATCTATTTGATTTTTTGACTGGTTCAGTTTATATGATATTTATGAATACATGTGTACCGGTACTTATAGTCACAACTTAATTAACTAGGCTAGATGCTAACCACATCAAAGGAGAACAATTATTTGTTCAATGTAATGAAGTGTTTCTGTAATTTCGACCATTACCTAACAAAGGATATGGATAAAATTCATAAAAATAAATTTAAAGCCAATTTTAGGTATAGCATATAAAAATTTGGGACAGTATGTATGGGTCTGCAACATTATATAAATTGGCTGTAGAGTTATCTCTCTTTGCTTGATTTTTTGTGTGGAGAAGTTAGATAACCACTATCTTTTTTTAATTAAATAGAATGACATGAATTGTGTTTGGTCCAAAAAAAATCATGATAAAATTGAAGCAAATGAGATCAAAATGTGAGGTTTGTGAATGAGCATTTACTTTTAACAGTAAATATACATTTATCTCAATTGTTTCATTTATACTGTTGTTACATAATTTCTCATCAAATAGTATACTAGTATGTCTAGTAGAATCATTCCAAATGTATTTTGCATAGTGAGCACCGGTATGCGCTAATCAACCCAGTTGAAGAGGTTTAGCATTTCAGTATATAAGGTTGATAGTTCTATCACTATGTCTCTGAAACGTTCTTTATTTGTCTTAGTATGAAAGGTTGATTGTAATTGTTGACATGTTTGTATTTGTAGAATTGTTGTCTGTTTTGCAGCACTTCGTAAACAGCAATTTTATCCTGTGATTTTTTCCTTGTAAGTACATGTATTTGTAAAGAAGTTTTTCTTCATCTTGAAAATGTTTAATTTTTTTATGGAAAGAATAGAAATATTTTATGGCAAATATAGAAGACGTCAAAAAGTGACCTTGAGGAGAGATACTGTATACAGGGAAATTTTCACCCCTGTTTTATTTTCACCCGATTCACCCTTGTCAATTTGGGCCAATTTAAAATGAAAGAACACTGAATAATTTCTTAAACAGAACTGTGATTGGGTGGATTTAAAACTGGGCGAGTGTGAAAGGGCGAAATTAACACACGTCGAAAATAACCCTGTATATAGTAACCCTGACATTTTTGCAAGGACAGTCTTTTGATGGAATTTACTGTGAGTCATTGCTTAGCTAAATATATTTCAATGAATTTTCAATGATTTTTTATTATAATTGTACCCTGGAATGTGTCTGTTAGTTTGGTTGTATCAAGTGTTGGTGTGATTTTAGAATGATTTAAGTGTGTTTGCCATATTGAAAATGCCCCTGATAGAAAAACAGAGTATTTTCTCCAAGTATGTTGTAGTTAAAGTATAATGAAGTTTTGTTCATTGATATAGACATCTTTTACTGGAACTGAACAACCTCAAGTATGTGTTCAGGTCAGAGAGAATGAATAATAGGATGAAAGATATGACATATTAACAAAATTAACAAATTATTAGTTTAAACCAGCTTTATTATCTTTGTTATTGTTAGCTGGGTATTAGTTTGATGAGAATTTTTATCCCTCAGGTCCTTAGAGCAAATGACAAGACCAAAGAAATACAAAGTCTTGATTATTAAATCTTTGCCGAAGCATTGGAAATTCTCCATTTCAGTAAAATTACAACTGATTGCAAGGAAATGTGCAATAATCTTTATTCCATGAACTGTCGTTTTCTTTCATTTTGTGAATCACCGAGTCACACCTGTAACAACTGTTTTTCAGAGGTCAACATAACATATTGTTATACCCTTATAAATATCACTCTATATATTTATTACTTATAAAAAGTCCAACAAAAGAGCTGTTTATTACATCGGTCTAACAATTTCACTATTGACCAGTCTTACATAAGAATTGTTAGACCGCAACGTCACTCGTCTGTTACGTCACAAGTAAGTTCAATATCGGCGACGCGAAAATAGCCGAAGTTAAGACCTACAAGAGTTGTTGCTTAGAGCAAGGTAATGAAGAAGGGAATAGTATGTTTTGTGATGAATAATTTTTGTGATACAATAGATATATAATTGAGTTTGTTCTTTCTCAGCTTGATGTTTCATATTTACTGAAGAAGCCATAATTTTCCATATAAAATAATTGATAATATAGCGATTAAATTGATCAATCTTAAATGAGCAGTGAAGGGTATAACAAAACAGTTATAGACTGGGATTCGGGCAACATATGATTTGTTGGACCTGAAGGTGAAATTGTTGCCCTTGGCCTGCGGCCTCGGGCAACATTTTGACTTTCAGGTCCAACAAATCATATGTTGCCCTCATACCCAATCAATAACTGTATATTGTTATATTATATTTTTTTCCCAATCCCTTTGACATATTGTCAATAAAATATGTTCAAAACAAAACAATATTTTTTTTTTCAATCTTTAAATATGATGTTAGTTAAAGGTATGCTTCAATTAGCTAATTACCTATAGGTACTTAATTTCATATTCATTATTAGTGTGAATTCTTCAGAGAAAGATCTTCAAAGGGATGTTTTTATTGTAAACACATGTAATTTATTGAGTTTCATTGGCAAAGTATGCATTTAGCCAACCTAAATGATAAATTTAAACTCATCCTTTCTTTAATTTGGGGGAATTTTGCTACCTGACAGCACTGAGCTCATGTTAATCATTTTCTCATAACCTTATGTTTGTACTGTGCTTATAAGTAAAAAAAAAAAATAAAAACAAACAATTTTTCCTTGAATCCTTGAAGGACTCTACAATTACATGTAAATTGTTTTTATCTTCATCAAGAGTTTTTTATTGCCATTTAAAAGTTAAAACCAATAGTTTGGCATCTGAATTTAATTGTTTATCAAGACCTTTGCTTTGTGTATTTTGTGTAACTCAAAAGTCAAGAAGTACATGTTCATTTAGTGTTCTCAGTTTATTTGTGGGGGGACTTCAATTTATGTTGTTTTACCAAAAGTGAATATAAGAGGCCTGAGGGATATTAATGAAGATGTTGTTTTTTGTGATTAAGTGGTCCACATTTTGATGAAATTATTGATATTGTGCAATCTATGCTACTATGTAGAGAATATTAATACAAAGTTTAATATATTCATCAAGTTGTGCGTTTGTATGTATGTTCTATCTTAAAATGTAGCTTTGCTATTATCCTTAAAGTTTTAAAATTAAAGGAACAAATTTTATTTTTCATTTTCTTTTGGAATATAGTGTGTTAAAAAACTTGGACAATAATTATTAGTTCATTCAGAGTTGATCTACTTCTTCAGTGTCTGATGCTGAACTCAGGCTTATTATAATTATTTCAGATTGTTGGAAAGCATATTGATTACGCAAATACACAGACAACCGACTCCGTATTCAGTGTAAAGTTTCATAAGCAACTTTTAGTCAGAAGTAATCTATCTCTCTAAAACTTTAAACATTTCATCTTTCAATATCTAATGCCAAGACGTGTCTCTGAAACACTGATGCCCTTGTGCAGCAGCTTACAACAAAGGTTAAAGTTTCTCAAATGCAAGTTGACCTCCAAGGTCAATGTATCAAAAATGTTGTTACCCTAGGGAAAAAAAGTCTCAATAAATTTAACAATGACCAAGAACCTATGGCCAAGGTTAATGTTCTCCAGAAATAGGTCAAAAGTCAAGGTCAAAAGTGTTGGTATCAAAAGGAATACACCTGTGACATTTGAAAGCCCATGTACTAACTGGACAATGACAAAGGTATTTCTAATGGGTCAAACCCTAAGATCAGGGTCCAATATGTTGGTACTCAAAGAAAGGACATATCACAAACAAGAGGCCCATGGGCCACATCACTCACCTGAGTAACTTGGGTGATGCAGTTCTTTGTGCCATATTTCCCTCTTCTTATACTATTGTGGTCCCCTCCCCCGTCTTGATTTTAATAAATTTAGAATCTACACTACCCCAGGATGCCTCCACATAAGTTTCAGCTTTCCTGGCCCAGTGGTTTATTAAAGTTTTTTCGAATATATTTCTATGTAAAACTTGGATTCCCTATTGTGGCCCCGCTGTACACCCGGGGGTCATGATTTTAACAATTTAAAATCTACACTACCCCAGGATGCTTCCACATTAGTTTCAGCTTTTCTGGCCCAGTGTTTCTTGTGAAGAAGATTTTTAAATTTATCCTATATATTTCTATGTAAAACATGGATTCCCTATTGTGGCCCCGCTCTACACCCGGGGGTCATGATTTTTTACAATTTACAATCTACACTACCCCAGGATGCTTCCACATAAGTTTCAGCTTTTCTGGCCCAGTAGTTTTTGAGAAGAAGATTTTTTAATGACCCCACCCTATTTTTGTCTTTTCTTGATTATTTCCCCTTGAAAAGGGACTTGGCCCTTCATTTTAACATTTTAAACTCCCTATTACCCAAGGATGCTTTATACCAAGTTTGGTTAAAATTGGATCAGTGGTTCTTGAGAAGAAGTTGAAAATGTGAAAAGTTTACAGACGGACGGACAGCTGGACGGACGAACTACGGACAAAAGGTGATCAAAAAAGCTCACTTGAGCTTTCAGCTCAGGTGAGCTAAAAATATGACATGAAAAAGTCTTAGCTCTATCTAATCAAAACTTATGGCCTGAGTAAAAGTTTGATAAATTTTTGAATAAGTAGGTCAAACTATAAGGTCAAGAGGTCAAATATGTTGATATCCATACAATGGCCTTGTCACAAAGAATTATACATGTAAAATATATAGCCATAACAGTCGCTCGCGTGGTGCATTGGTTAGAGCGTCTGCTTTAGATTCGCGAAGTAAGGATATGATCTTTTCCTCGCGGGTTCGAATCCCACTGTGGGACGTGGAAACCGGTCCTTAGGATGAAACCGTATAAACAGAGGTCCATGTTGCAGTAGGTGATGGCCTGGCACGAAATAGATCCCTCACTGCTTAATGACCGTAAGTGCTTTGAGACAAAATTTGCAGCTCTCCAACGGGAAGTGGTGGCGTCTCCATATGAGTGAAAGATTCTCGAGAGGGACATTAAACAACATACAAACAAACAAATAAAAGCCATAGGTGCACACAATCAATAGCTATGGACAACTGAGGTTAAAGATTTGCGAACAGACAGACAGACAGACGGGGTAAAAGTTTTTTGTCCTTTATTTAAAAGTAAAGAATTCACAGAGCACTGTAATATAATAATGATACTGTCAAAAAGTTCATAAAAGGTGTTGTCCACTTCGTTAAATGTGGCACTAAGATTTGGTTCTAGTTAAAGTTCTATCTAATCCACCCAGCACTTATACCAGTCCTTGGATTCCTACATCTCAGCGAAGCTGTCAGCACTGTAAGTATTCTCTGGAACCAGCTGCCACCGAATTATTTATAGATGAAAAATGCTATATTTTCTATCGTTTTATACCGGCTTCTAACAGTTTTTCACTTGCTGGTTCTTTCACCTCTTTCTCTACATCGTCTTGGCTGTCAGTGGATTTGGAACATCGGGATACGAAGAACGCTATGATGGCTGCTAGTAATTGTAAGACCCCTGTGATATAAAACACATTGTCCCAACTGCCTGTCAAGTCTTCAACCCAACCTGTAACAAAATAAGCCTGTATCTTCGAATTTTCTATACTGAATCCTGACAATGTTCAATGCTTTTCAAATACAGTCAAACTTCGTTATCCCGACCTCGATGAGACCGAGAGAAAAAATTGAGGTACCCGGATGGCCGAGATTCCGACGTTTAGCTGTAAGAACATAAACCTTTCAATTCATGATATACTTACCTAAGCAAGGCAATCCGAGAAGGGAAAACACGGCTATGAATATTGTTACTACAGCAAATGCTGATGGAAGATTTTTTAGTGAAACAGTTTCTAATAAAATAATGGACATCAGTGCATAAAAAGAACCAGGGAATATTCCAATTACTACAGCATAAGCATAGTACAGAACTTTGTGTCGAACCAGGGGCACAACAAAAGCTGAAATGCCACTGATGCACATACATAAGCCGTAGACGTGGCTTGGCGAAATAATCTTCAGATCCGTAAACCAGCCCATGGCCACTCGTGCAAAAATTTCACACGCTCCTGTTAATGAAAATATAAAAACTGTGGTTGCTTTTCCGATATGTTCCGATTCCAGAAAGGATGGAAAAGTATAGAAATACGCCGAATAGCTTAGAGCGGACAGGCAAAATGCCATAGAGATTGACAGAAATGTTAGGTCCTTCATAATATTACTGTCACATGCACAGAACTTTCGGCATAGTACTTCTTTGCACGAACCATATTCGTTTTCCCGGTCTTTTGTCTTTACATCACGCGAAGAATCATTGCTGAATTCGTATGGTTGTCGTAAAAAGGAAGCTGCCACACAAACATTCAACATTATACCACCTAGGACTAACATAGCACCACCGATTGCGTACTGGTCTATAAGTATGCGGTATATATGCGGGAAGAGGAATCCTCCCACACCACTAGCAGACAGGACGATGCCGTTGGCAAGTGCGCGGTTGTGTTCGAAGTAATAGTTGATTAGAGTAGAACAAGGGACATACGTTAAACCACAGCCAATCCCTGTAATCAACCAACGTCCAAATTATGTTTAAATCAAATAATTGTTATAAAATGATTATTTTTTAAGAATATATATTTTTACTGTCCATATAAACTTAATACAATATAAACTCTTGCTTATGTATATGACAGAAATTCGCTTTCATTGCGGAGATGTTGAAAAGCTTACGTACCAGTGATTAAACTGTAGGTAATATACCAGTACATAACATCATTGGTGAAGGCACAGCTGACGTAACCAATACAGAGGGTCACGCCCCCACTGAAACATACTAGACGGAAAGAATACCTTGTAGCCAGCAGAATGGCGAATGGACCTGTAATATAAATAGAATACAGTTAATAGGTGAGAACCTTTTTTCTACAGATCACACACATCCCTACTTTTTCATACTCATTTTACCAGTACCATTAATTCGTAAACAACAAATTTATACCTCGAAGATTACGAGATATTGGAGCTTTGTCTAATACCGTATATACAGTGTAATACTCAGTGTATATATTTTAGAAATTATGTTACTGGAAACAATTTTGTTAGCTATAAGATGTAGAAACGCTGTGTTTACCCGTTAATGACTGTATGAAGCTTGCGGCACTTCCGATGAGTGCTGTACTTCCGGCGCCACTGTTTGTTACCGTCAGAATCTCGGAATATAAGATTCCATAAGACTTGATAGAACCCAGTAACAGCATGTACATGAAAAAGCAAGCTGCAAAATAGAAGAATTGGTTACAGAACAAAGGATGCAAAACAAGTTGTGAGGTTTTCGAGATATCGACGTTCGAGTTATCAAAGTTCAACTGTATATTTGTACAAGTAATAGAAGCAGACTTTCACACAATACTTGCAGACATGCACGGACTATAAATTAGTACTAGTATTATGTGTACGCGCAAAATATAATTTAAGGCATTTTTTATACGTCGTAAGTATAGATCATATAGATAGGGCTGAACGGGAACATGCTGTATATAGGATATATAATTGTTCGTAGGCATAGGTAAGATATACTGTTCGTACAAGTAAATCATATATAGCTCATAGCCGTCGGTTTGTTCATTAAGCACCAATGGTAAATGCCTATTATGCCTATCTTTGCAAATGATGAAAAATAGGGGAAGGGACTAATTACCCCCCCTCCTTCCCAGCAACCGGTTCCGACGTTTATGTAGCTGGTCGAATATTATACACTTTACAAGTAACAGCTTTTTAAAAAGCTTGCCTGACTAAATCAATCAATTTAATCTGCATGAAGAGTGATAAACCTTTTGAGCAGTAATACTTTTGTGAGTTTAAAACATACCCTAACTTTATATTTAATATGAGAACCTCGTGTAATTGAAATCTTGATTTTATTTAACTTGTTGAAGAAACACTCTACACTGCATACTAAAGAGTTGTTTTTATGCCCCCGTAAACGAAGTTTCGGGGGTATATAATTTTTGTCGTGTCTGTCTGTCTCTCTGTCTGTCTGTTTGCCTGTTTGTCCGCAAAAACTTTAACCTTGCCTATAACTTTTGATTTAGTGGAGCTATGACTTTCATATTTCACATGTGTATTTCTTGTGACAAGACCTTTCTTTGGGTACCACCAAATTTGACCTTTTGACCTTGACCTTGGAGTTTGACCCACTTTTACATGAAAATTTTAGACTTTTACTTTGGCCATATCTTTTGATCAGGAGACACCAGGACATTTATACATCACATATGTAATCTTTGTTGAAAGACCTTTCATTGGATACCAACAACCTTGACCCTTTGACCTTGACCTTGTAGATATCCGTTCTTGTGAAAAGACTTTAACCTTGGTCATAACTTTTGAACGGTAAGGGATAGGGCTTCATACTTTATATATGTAATCTTTGTGAGAAGTCCCTTCATTGAATACCAAGAACTTTGACCCTTTGACCAATCTGATTAAAATCAGATCATATTTTGATCCGCTCACATAGATCGCTACACAAGGATCTGAAGAAACCCCATTCAGGGTCATCTCCAGGTGACCTTTCTAATAAAAATATTCATGAAAATGTTGACCAATCAGAGAGGCCGTGCTTAAACGACATTCTGGAAAACGAAATTAGAAGTGAAAGTAGCTGCGGAGAAGATCTTGTCGTTTCGTACAAAACAAAGAGCTAAAAAACAAGACAAAAGCAAGTACTTATTATATTACTGTACAGAAAAGACTGTGGCCCTTCTCTTGACAGGCTACAGAAACTAGGTCACGATTTTTCCATTCGTGTATCATCGGGCCTTTCCCCTCTGTAACTGAATTCCGAGATACTTTCCAATTCTCCAAAGTAAACATTTGATTGGATAATTCAAAGGTCACCAGGAGATGACCCTGAATGGGGTTTCTTCAGATCCTTGTGTAGCGATCTATGTGAGCGGATCAAAGGATCTGATTTTAATCAGATCGACCCTTTGACCTTGACCTTTGATATTGACCCACTTTAAATAAGCAAACCCTGACCATAACTTTTAAAGGGTTAGGGCTAGTGCTTTCATACTTTACATATTTACTCCTTGTGACAAGACCTTTCATTTCATAACAAGAACTTTGACCCTATTACCTTGACCTTGGAGTTTGACCTACTTTTTTTTAAAAAATTGAACCTTGGCCATAACTTCTGAACTTTTAGGGCTAGGGCTTTCATACTCTACATAAGTATTCTATGTGGCAAGATCTTTCATTTGATACCAAATGATATTGACTTTTTGACCTTGACCTTGGAGATTTTTGTACTTATTGGGAAAAAGTTTAACATTAGCTTACTTTCAAATTTCACAATTGCTTTCCAGTGAGAATAGCCCTACTTTTGGTACCAATTAATTAAATTTGCATTTAAGAAAAGTTTAATCATTGATATGTTGCCATACGGGGGCATCAGTGTTTCACAAACACATCTTGTTCGGTCTGCTAGTGGAGTGATCTGCCCTTGGATCTAAATTTCAAGCTCCATTGTAACACCTACATACATGTACATTATAAAATCTGTCATCAAATCATGCATTGTAAACATTTTAAAAGATGGACATAATTAAATGCACATTTTGTTGGAGTGTATTTTCTCCTCTGAAGTATACAGTAGTAATGTGTGTTTATTATTTTTTTCTTTAAAAGGGGTGGGTGGGTAGTGACACTATCATGTATTTAGAATGAAATAAGTAAATTCAATACTTAAACCTTTGTGGAAAGAAAAATCCAAGATTTTTCACTGCTTTCTTATTTACTGTGTGTATCTGAACAGAGACATATGACTTGAACTGCGTTGTTTATTATTATCGGTCTAGTCCATTTATGGAATAAACCAACCGCGGGATCGGGAAACAAATTAGAAAAATCACTTCTTAAGTGTTGTATGTCCATATATTGATGTATACGACATGTTGTTTTAAAGAATGATATAAAACTTGTGGATAGAATTTCTGAGGCATTAGAATGAGGTTTTCATGGAAGTTAGCACACCCATTCATACAATAGAACAATCCAAAAAAAAGGCGCGAATTCGAAAATATAGCTTGCTAGTGACATTTGGCGCGAAAAGAGCGATTCACCCCTTTCGTGCAATATAAATGGACTGATCCAGTAGTATAGAAATGCAGAAAACAGGATACACGGACATGTTGAAACGGCGAATAACATGGAATAATCTGTTCCATGCAAACAGAGTAAAGGAAGTAACATTGCAGTATTTTGCATCAGTAATATCATTCTGTTTTCTGAAAACTGTTTCTTTTAAAATGCAGGTAAAGAATTCCAATGCAAATCAGCTTGCACAAAATCTAGCTCTTTAGATATGATCGCACACTTTCGGATCTTGGAAATATCAATCCTTATACAGCCTGACGCCGTGACGTCAGGCAAAAAGACGCATAAAAATGGAAAGAACGGATTACACGTTTGTTCTCTTAAAACACTGGCGTACATGAACACAATCTAGTACATATATTTAAAAAAAAAATAGAGAAGGCATTCAAATATAATAAGAATCCGGCATATTAAACTTAGAACAATCATGGATATTCAAGTAAATAGTAATTACAACTAAATACGATTTCGTTGCGAGCAACGAGAGGTCTTCCGTCCGATTCAGGAAAAAAAAACTTGTAAAATCGTACTAAAAAGTGATTCAAAATTTTGATCACAAGGAGGAGTGAATCCAGGTAGCCAACGTGAATGCGCCTTTTTTTCTCTTTTCTCCCCAACGCGCGAACCATTTAGCTATTGGGAATACTGCTTTAAATATACTTGTGTATACTTTTGCAACAGTACACCTGTCTAAGAATCATAAAAGGCGGGCCACTATTCATAATTTCGTGTCAAACGCCACGCGTAAATATTCGCACCTTTTCTTTGTACTAATCTATTATTAAGGTGCAATAGTTTCAATGAAATTAATTAAATGAAACATTCTTATCACCTTTATTTTATTTCGGCGTTAGGAAAGTATATTTAACACATTGTACACATTACATATCGTATCTAGCCCAGTAACACTAAAGCAGTGAAACGTAAATTAAGTTTTTTAAGATTGACATTGAATTGCAACGTACTACTACGTGAGAGTCCAAGTATTTTTTTTGCATTTCATGTATCCTTATGTCAGAATGGTTTAATCAAACGCTCAGCTGCCTCCATAAGCCCCTACTCGCGAAATGTCGGAGTTGACAGAGACAGCCGCCATCTTGGGCCCGCTTCAGATTTTCAAATATTAATATCTAGAGTTCAGATTAACCAATATTAAAACAACTTATATAGTAAGCATCAATAGAAGTGTCTCTATTAATATTCCAAAAATAAATGAAAAATATTGAAAAACAAAGAAAGTTGAAAATTTGGACTTTTTGAATTGGCTTCCGGTAGCGACAGGAAGTACTGACGACGAACGAAAAGTTGCGTCCTGGAAAGTATTGATCATCATCTATAAACTCTGAAAGTTTCACATTGATATCTTTTACCGTTTTTGAGTTTAATCGTAGACAAAATGTCGTTTTAAAATCAGGAAAATGGTCCAAAACTTGGCACCAGAGAGGAATTTCCAAAAACTGTCTTGGAACTTTCAAGAGTAAAGATAATAATAATAATAATAATAATAACTAGAAACGATCTCGTTGCGAGCAACGAGAGGTCTTCCGTCCGAATCTGGAAAAAGAAAACCTAAAATCAAATTGAAAAAAAAATTGGAAACACGGGGGGTTGAATCCGGGTAAAAAGTGAAAATTCCAGCGCACTAACTATGTCCGTCTGTCTGTTACGCTTTGGGTACCCATCTCCTATCCGCAACCCCTCTCATACCACTGAATGAAATTTGATAACACTTTCTTAGAATCTTTATTACATATTGCCATTGAGTATCATATTTTATTTTTTGATCTGGCACATACTGGTAGTATTTTGGGATTTCCATAGCAAAACATGGACACTGTCATTATATTCATATGGGATGCGGAGCATTATTCATTGCACACAGTACCTCTAGTTTGATAATATTTTTTTTTCGAAAGAGTCACTGAGATGCATACTTTTAAAAAGAATTGGAGGATCAAACGAATTATAGTCTCCCTTGAATATGGGCATTTTCTTGGAGATGCAGCGTTATTTCATTATTTTTTTTTTTTTTTTTTGAAATTCACAGAGCTCTACTTATGGGATGGAGGTACAACCAACGATTAAAACTTTTTGCAACCAAAATATGCAACTTGT